CTGGGAAGCCATTACCATGGCAATTCCACTGTGCTGTACAGAAGAAGCTATTTTAAGGCACAACAGGCTGTATCTTAACTACTTGAATCCAAAATGCATACTATCACTGTCAAAAGTAGTGACGACACTATAGATATAATTCAGTTCTTTTCATTTCAGCGGCCCAGGCATTCCGGAGTTATGCTGGAACACAGACATGGACACACACACCGAGCGGTGATAGGGGTGTCTTACACCCCCAGTATTTGTTTCCAGAGAGTAAGTCATCTGTGTACCAAATTTGATTGAAACTGGCCAAGGTGTTCCAGAGTTATGCTACAGCATATACACACAGACATTTTTATATAGATTCTACCCTATTCTGTACTGCAGGCTACTTCAGCTGACTGTTCAGCAGTTCAAATCTCACCAGTTCAAGGTTGACTCAGCCTTCCATCCTTCCGAGGTGGGAAAAATGAGGACCCAGATTAATGGGGCCAATATGCTGACTCTGTAAACCGCTTAAGAGAGGGCTATAAAAGCACTATGAAGTGGTATATAAGTCTAAGTGCTATTGCTATTCTATCCCAACCAATCCCATCCCATCCCATCCCATGCTACTCTACCCTGCTCTGCATTCTAAATTCTATCCTATCCTTCTAGGTGCCAAGGGCCTGAAGTGCAGTCATATGAATGGGGGAGTTTTTGTTGGAACTTTGAATTTGGGCCATGCCCCCAGGGAGGCCTGTCATGTGTCATAACAGTCCCTAAGTGACTGGTCGTAAGTCAAGGAATACCTGTAAAGTTTCTCACACCAGTCAGCAGATTCGGTGTTTTCAGATTACTCTAACATTAAACCGACCCAGATATTATGTTCAGAGGCTCATCATAAATCAAGGACGACCTGTAAGGTTTCTCGTAGCTTTCAACCAATTTCATTCTTTCAGATTATTCTAAAAGCCCAGATGTTATGATGTCCCTTCCTTTAAGTAACACAGCAAATACAAATTAGCTGTGGGTTGCAAAGAAGGTTGTATTCTTAGCACCGACTCCACGGCTTCCGTCTGAGAGGCCAGTCAAAACCTGGAGTTGTGCTGCGCCAAAGTAGAAAAGAAATTCTAAACGTCGTAATACATAACAAAATTACAAAACAACATCTCTAGCTGGGGGTGGACCACTCTGGCCCTTTTAGAACCCATGGACTTCAACCTTGAGTCTACTGGGAGTTGAAGTCCACAGGTCATAAAGAGGCTTTGAGTTGTCCATCCCCTGGTCTCTTTATCTTAAATCTGTGGCAGAAAATCAAAACTGTTTTCCTTCTGTATTTTTAAGGAAGCCTATTAGCAACTGCAGTGAACAAGAAACAAGATTTGGGGGGGGGGGGAGAGATAATGGCAAACTTACTGCTCACGTAAGGTGAATTTTGCAGACTTCCTCCAGCTGGTATACATGGCCAATTACAAAGCACAGCAAGAAAATCCAATTTTTACAGACATGAGTCACAAATTCTTGGGATTAATTTTGGATCTATGGATGAAGTTGCTTTGGTGTTGGATTACTTGGCACTGTAAGGAGTTGTTGGAGTATTTGCTTCCCTCTGTGAGATAGCCGAGCCTTTTCGCCAATCCTTTTAGCGACGTTATGTTGGGGTTCCTGATAATGATACAACTGCTTGCCCTGCAGACTTCTGGGGCATGTAGGAGAACGGGTCCAGTACTTTTCATCGGCCACTGGTCATCTTTGGCGATTTGCCCTTTCTTGGTGAGGTCGCTGAGCTTTCTTTGGATCCAGATGATTTCGGTTTTTTTTTCTGTGGGATCCGCATTCACTGGGTGTAGGTTGGTCTTTTAATAATTCTTTTGCTTTTTGTATATATTCTAATGTATCCATGATAACCCTGAGTTCAACCTTTATCTGCTGGAAGGATGATGATTATTTGGAACTCTCTTTTTGAGGGCTGCTTCGTCTTCGGCTTGGAGGGTTCTGTTCTCATCTTCTCCTTGTCCGATGCTTTCTTGGGTCTCTGGAGGGAATCCCAGGGTTTTAAATGCTCCTTCGAAGGCTGGCAAAGAATTCCAACTGATTGGCAATCCTCTGGGTTGCACTTCAAGCCTTTCTGTGGGATGTTCCGCGGTAGACAGTGGGCGGCTGCTGTGGACTTATGCCGCCGAATAATAAAAATGGGAAAAATTCTGAATATCAACGGCGGGAAGGGATGGTGGCTGCCGTTGCCCTTTGTCGAAATTTTTAGGAGGCCAAGAAAATACGATGAAATTGATCGGAGGGAGGAGAAACTGAGCAAATCTGAAGTACCACAGTAGACGTGGGAAGCTGAATGCATCCATTTCCCAATCTGAGGCATTTCAGGAATGGCGAAATCACAAAAACTTCTTGCGAAGAACAATCAGCCGAAATCATATTTTTGCCTCATCGAGTTGTCCTTGAATCTTTATTTCAAATACATGGCACATCATGGAGGACATTCAGTGGTTTTGCTAGTTCAAAAGAGAGGGGAGAAAATACATATCAGGTGTTTATCAATTTGCAGCTTTATCTCAGGTTCTGCATCGTTTATTTTGTCCCTTTCCCCCCTTATAAACATTTATTTGGGTAGCCAATTTGTTCAAGCCGCCTCAGGCTAATAATTTCCTCTGCGCTCAGTTCCGATCAGTGTGTTAAGATTTAATTCATTTGTGAATCATTTAGCAGTTGAACTAAAAACAGTCATCACAGGAACCGCAGTGCAGATTTTAAATCCGATAACCCAGCGTTGCTCGGGTATTAATTTATAGGGGGAAAATGTCTAGACCAAACGTAATTTCTAATGTTGGATTTCCCTCTTTACCCTTGTGGAGTAGTGAAGCTGTTACCATGGCAACTCCACTGCGCTGTACAGTAGAAGCCAGTGTGGCACAACAGGCTGTATCTTAACAGAACATACACCCTAAGGGGTGTCAGGGGTCTTACCCCCACAGTATTTTTCTCCAGAGAGTAAGTCATGTGTGTACCAAGTTTGGTTGAAATTGCTCAAGGCATTCCAGAGTTATGCTGGAACATACACATCCAGACATTCGTTCATATAAATTCATTCATTCATTCATACATACATGAATTTTAAACTCACACCTCATAAATGCAAATTTTGAATGCTATAACAGCTTTAATATATTAGGATAAAAGGGTGAATGAAAAGTATGCACTCATTGTGACAAAACAGTGATTAACTCATTGTCATGCAGAATTTGTGTTCTGGAAAGCAATTATACAGGTATAAAAGCCACTGTCTTGATGTTCAGAAATTATACAGTTAAGCGCTAAGAGTGAAAGAAAGGAAAATTATAGCTAAATACCTGGCTTGTATTTTGCTTGCTTTTAAGAGACTTTATTTAAGGGAGTTTGGATCTTCAAGAATGTTAAATTTTTATTTGCATGCCTTCTAGGCATTCCCTTTAAATGTCCTGAAAAAGATGCCACTCATTTTCTCCTCAAGTTCAATTTCTTCTTTTTCTTGGGAATTTTAGTGCGCAATATGAAACAGCTGTTATCCTGGAAAAGAGAAAACAGCAGGGCATTTAAAAAAAAAGAATGCTAACATAGAATAGAATTCTTTATTGGCCAAGAGTGATTGCACACGCAAGGAATTTGTCTTTAGTGCATAAGTTCTCAGAGTACATTAAAAAATACATTCATAATTTCATGATTTCCAATGTTGTTGTTTTTTGGCAATTTCCCGCAAAAACAACTACTGGTAAAGCTGGATTTGCTTAATGACTGCTATAAAAATTATCATAAAATTAGGTGTGTTTCAATTGAGGATGGCAATGACAGAAATTGACAGAATTTCTGATTCCAATTTGTGGTTGCAAGAAGAGGGACACCCGTAGAAATATGGAAACTAGGAAGGCTCATTTGTGGCAATTTTGTATATGACTGATTGTGTTACTATCTCACGTCTAATGCATTTCTGAAGTTAAGAAGGGAGAAGTAAAAAGCAGAATGTGATAGTAGAATTGATGTAGCAAGCTTTGGTTACTGGCAACTTACCACTATTTTGGCACCAATGTCTTCATTACCAGAATCCGCGTTGCTGAAACAGAACAATTATCCTATTAGATTTATTTATTTAGAAAGTTTATACACCTGCCTACTTGCTCAAAGTGATTCTAGGTGGCTTACAAAACAACAAAACACAATATAAAAATTAAAAAGCACAATAACCTGGTCCCAAGCTATGAAGGGGTTTAAAAGTAACAACCATGATCATTAGATAAATGGTTTAAAGTGAAGGACTATCCATACCTATGTTATGTTCAATGGAGAGAATAAGGACAAAGCCGATTACAATTTTGCTTTGGGCAGCTAAATTCTTAATTCCTGAAAATATTTGGATGCTTTATCAATTGGAAAAAAATGGCCTTTGAGTAAAATTTCATCAGAAGCATTACTCAAAAGGTAATTGTTGTGGCCCGCCAATGGAGCTGGTGGCACTCAAGACAGTGAAGAGGCTGGGGAGGAACATGGGCCAGAGGAGTGAAAGGGGAGGGGAATTTGCAGGAAACAATTGGTTCAATTCATTAGGGTGAAGATCTGTTCCTGACTTCTTGCCAATTATTGTGTGCTACAGCCTGGCATTTGGAAGATATCGGCCTGGCAGCCCTCCAAGCCTGATAAAAGCCTTATAGTTGTGAAATCTCTTGGAAGACTGTTGGCCGGGACTTTGCTGGAGAGGAATTCACTTTAAACTAAATAAAAGGGATTTTATCGGGATGAGAAGTCAGGTTTGCGTTTTGGGAAGCCTAGGTCAGAACAGGCATTAAATAAAATGATATGGCCTAGCAGGATTATATATTGACACTAAAGAGTCAATTTCAACAATCACACAATTGTGGTTTCAAGTTCTGATCTTTGGATTGCAAACACCCAATTTAGAAAGTCTCATTGTACCAACCTGGTCTCTGCAATGGGAGAAATGGGTCCATCGTCATCCAGGTATTTGTGCCTCCGTGATTCCAGGCATTCATTTTCAAGATCGCCCACAGCATTCAACCGCGTCAAGGACTTCTTCAAATGATCTTCATATTTCAACATTTCAATGTATTTGAAAAACCCCTTCAACGCTGCATGCTGGGAAAGGAGGATATATATTTTTTTCCAGACACAAACGAAAGTGCAAGCTTCAAATCCACTCTGAAGTTAATACGTGACAAGCCTGTCAATCGGAAAGACTAACACTGATAATGTTACCTAGTTGGGGAATGAAATGTCTGCAAGAAAACAAGCAAGCTCAGAGAACACCAAGGACCCCTCATGCTAACTCGAGCCACAAATATTATCCTTTATTAGAACTGCAAACTTTTCCTTCCATCAAGACAATCAAGAAGCAGCCAGGCATTCTCAATGGGGAGCCTAGAACAGTGATGCCTAACCTTTTTGTCGCCATGCGCGGAAAGTGCACGCATGTATGAGTGTTCCCCCGCATGCCTGTACCCATAATGCAATGTGTGTGACACCACACCCTGTGCGCACCACCACCCCGCGCACACACGCCTGTCCCCCCGCACCCTGTTTTGGGCCTGCAGCCTCCTGGGACCCTGGGATCAACATGCGCACTGCACCTGACCCAAAAATCAACTGGCTGACGGGAAGCACGCACGCATGCGTGGTGGAGCTGAGCTGGGGCAATGGCTCGTGTGCCTACAGAGAGGGCTCTGCGTGCCACAGGTTCCCCATCAGGGGCTGAGAGGATCAATCTTCCCAACTCACGTTGCTCAGGACCAGGGGTAGGTTCCTGCCAGTTCTAACCTCTTCTATAGAAGAGGTTCCACAAATCTACAGTGCCGTTTAGAACCAATTCCAGCTCCCTCCCCCCGCCCATCCACACATCAAGATGAAGAGCAAGAGGAGGAATTCTGGGAGTTGAAGTCCACAAGTC